TTCCGGATTTGTTATTTCCGAATTTTATAATGTGATTGGCATTAAAAACACGCTCACCTTCAACGAAATTTCCTTTCCGAGGCTTTGTGTCAGCCCAATCACATATTGTGTCAATACTTATCATTTTATCGTAATTTAAAAACTTGGAAATTGCACGGTACACTATAGGAACTACGATAAATTTTCCCTAATCGGAGCCATGTTTTTAGGCTCCTCCTATTTGACGGATCCCAATAGTTCGTGTTCGTTATAATCGCGCTCAAATGTATTTATTTTCCAAAATGATTAATTATTATTCCTAAACACGAAACTTTTCAGAAAAATATTGTTAAATGGAATCAGATGCGTCTTATACTTCCTTTTTCTCATCATATTCTATTTTCTTTTTTCAGAAAGTGGTTTAACATTTTCATTCGACGTCAAGACGACCCTAAATATATCTGACATAACCTTTTATCCAAGTCAGACTACGCACAGTTACGATATTTATGCAACTGCCAGCGATAAGGAAGATATATTATTCCTGAACTTATTGACAGGTAACGATCACGAAGTTTTAATATAGCAGCACTCTTATCTGTTCGGGAAAGTAGGTGATTGTTTTGTGCGAACGAAAGTTAAAAAGAGTGTCTAGTAAGCACAAAATGAAATCGATGGTTTAAAATGAGTTGCTAATCTTCTTCTACAGGATGTTCGGATAATATTTAAATAACACTTTTCTAGGTTTAGGGCTGATGGGAATGATGTCGTCAGGACATAGACATTCATTTCAATTACAGCGTAACATCTTTAAATCTTAATTTTACAAGTATATGTTGTTAATACTATAATATAATAATACTTTTCCATTCGTTTTTTGTTTAGTTAATAGGTAATATTAAGTAGGAGAAGTCGCCAATTTAAGTTTATTTAGGTATATGTATAATAAATACACCAAGTGGACCGATATTTCTAGAAAAGCGAATGTTTAAAGCCGTTTTCTAATTATAGGTAAGGTGGAAATAATCACAGGAGTAGGAAAAGCGAGATCATCCAAACTATCCAAATGGGGCAATCCAAACAGGCCAATAGAAAGCTCAGGTAAGCTTGAGTATATACTATATCAATCGTATCTAAATTCTTTGTATTTTTATAGTAGACATATACGAGGGCGGTTCAATAAATACCCGTGTTAGAAATGAAGACACCTTTTTTTTTTAAATTTGTTTTTTTATTTTTCAACATAGTCCCCTTTTAGAAAGATACACTTCTCCCAACGACCCTGCCATTTTTTTTACCCCTCCAAAAAANAACACGCTCACCTTCAACGAAATTTCCTTTCCGAGGCTTTGTGTCAGCCCAATCACATATTGTGTCAATACTTATCATTTTATCGTAATTTAAAAACTTGGAAATTGCACGGTACACTATAGGAACTACGATAAATTTTCCCTAATCGGAGCCATGTTTTTAGGCTCCTCCTATTTGACGGATCCCAATAGTTCGTGTTCGTTATAATCGCGCTCAAATGTATTTATTTTCCAAAATGATTAATTATTATTCCTAAACACGAAACTTTTCAGAAAAATATTGTTAAATGGAATCAGATGCGTCTTATACTTCCTTTTTCTCATCATATTCTATTTTCTTTTTTCAGAAAGTGGTTTAACATTTTCATTCGACGTCAAGACGACCCTAAATATATCTGACATAACCTTTTATCCAAGTCAGACTACGCACAGTTACGATATTTATGCAACTGCCAGCGATAAGGAAGATATATTATTCCTGAACTTATTGACAGGTAACGATCACGAAGTTTTAATATAGCAGCACTCTTATCTGTTCGGGAAAGTAGGTGATTGTTTTGTGCGAACGAAAGTTAAAAAGAGTGTCTAGTAAGCACAAAATGAAATCGATGGTTTAAAATGAGTTGCTAATCTTCTTCTACAGGATGTTCGGATAATATTTAAATAACACTTTTCTAGGTTTAGGGCTGATGGGAATGATGTCGTCAGGACATAGACATTCATTTCAATTACAGCGTAACATCTTTAAATCTTAATTTTACAAGTATATGTTGTTAATACTATAATATAATAATACTTTTCCATTCGTTTTTTGTTTAGTTAATAGGTAATATTAAGTAGGAGAAGTCGCCAATTTAAGTTTATTTAGGTATATGTATAATAAATACACCAAGTGGACCGATATTTCTAGAAAAGCGAATGTTTAAAGCCGTTTTCTAATTATAGGTAAGGTGGAAATAATCACAGGAGTAGGAAAAGCGAGATCATCCAAACTATCCAAATGGGGCAATCCAAACAGGCCAATAGAAAGCTCAGGTAAGCTTGAGTATATACTATATCAATCGTATCTAAATTCTTTGTATTTTTATAGTAGACATATACGAGGGCGGTTCAATAAATACCCGTGTTAGAAATGAAGACACCTTTTTTTTTTAAATTTGTTTTTTTATTTTTCAACATAGTCCCCTTTTAGAAAGATACACTTCTCCCAACGGCCCTGCCATTTTTTTTACCCTTCCAAAAAATAAGATTTGTCGAACTCTCCAAAATCCCCACTGTCTTGGCGATTACTTCCTCGTTTGAGCTAAATTTATTTCTCACTAGTCATTTCTTCATGGTAGGGAACAAGATGAAGTCGCAGGGAGTCAAATCGAGTGAGTACGGGGTGTGCGGCAGCAAATTCATAACGTAATTCATGCATTTTGGCGGCAACAACCCTGCCGGTGCGTTATCGTGTTGAAAATGCACCCTCTTTTTCGTCAAATGCGTCCGTGTCTCCTTCAATTTTTTATCGAAGCGGTCCAATAATTCACTGTAGTATTGTCCAGTGATAGTTCTTCCTTTTCCTAAAAAATCCGTAAAATGATTTCCTCGGTAACAACGTTTGCCAGGCTTCCTGGTCGCTCCTATCAAAAACGGATCTTTGCCCACGTTTAAATTCGTTGAAGCAATATCTAACTGTGGTCGTAGATGGCGAAATGTCTCCATAAACAGTATCCAACTTTGTTTTCATCTCCTCGCATTTTTTCCCATCCAAAAACAAAAAGCGAGTTACCGAACGATACTGCTCTTTTTCCATCTTAGCGAAAATAACGAAACACGTCTCAGTCGAATGGCTGCCAAATCCAAACTAACCTATCAATCAGTCTGAAATTCGTTTTGGCGCGGTTTGACAGATGGCAGCACACGATGATAACACCAATTTCCCTCAGAAACGTCCTCTGTCTTCAAACACGGGTACTTATTGAACCGCACTCGTATTTGGCAAAATTAATTAAAAAATAATTAAAATAGTTTCATTTGTTTCCTAATTTAACATTTATTTAAAGTATAAACATTTTGTCGTTAATTCTCATTAAAAAAAGTATATACGTTTAATTTGCTACGTACATTTACTAGATTTTCCTAATCATTAAAAAATAAAATTAATGTTTAGGGTAACGTATACAACGTACTTAAGACTCGTCTAGAGTCGCAAAAGCTGTAAATCATTAACTGCATAATTTACCAATCACAGAGACAGTTACCCTACGTCCCTCCCCAGAGGTTAAGTATGATACAACTTGGTGATTTAAGTAAGATAATAATTACAATGCAAAGGAGATTTGAAACAGGAAATTTGGCGAGTCCCTTTAGGTTACATGTTTGTGGCTTTTGTGACTCGAAACAACGGCTTAGCTATATCTGCTTATCAGTTATTATAGAATGATGCTCAAAATTACTTGCCGAATGGAGCAATTGCCGATCGATGATGTAATGAAAATTTTCAGAAAATAATCACTTATCATTGATTAGTTAGGCGACTTCTTATTGTAATGCTCCTATGCTTATGTTAATAAGGAAGTTTTTGTGCTAAATATTTTAACTTCATAGTTTTCAAAACATCTCTCGCACGAACGACTTTACTGTCTATTTATCAGGTGTTTCTTAAATAAGTAGTAGACTATGGAGCATGTTAACTAGATGCAGTAGGGAATCGCATGATGAGTAAAGCAGCGTATCTAAGGGACAAAAAAAGATTGTAAGAAAACTAGAGGTTACAATCCGAAGCCGGTCCTGAGCGTGAATTGGCAACGTACAATGAAATTGCGACTACAACTAAACAGCTACGTTGATGAAGAATGTAAACAGTGACGGTTATGGAACGACTAATAAAATAAATATTAATACCTTATTACCATGCCACTACTCATAATACACTCCGATATATATACGAATGTACAAACAAAAAATGTTAGAACCGCTCGCTAAAAGGCAAGTTTCAAGGCGTTTACCAAAATCATCTTTGAATCGCGCAAAGACCTCCGACATTTGGCTTAATTCATTTGCAGCGATCATCATACGGTCGTGCAAATCATTAGAGTGTTTGATACACGTACCATTTCATGCAACCCCAACAAATAAGCGGATTTAGATCGGCCGACCAAGGTACAGGACCGGTACGTTCGATCCCCAGTGTCTAGAAAACTGTTCGCTTAAGCACTGTTCAATGCAATAGTACTATTCTGCACTGACGTATGACACTGACACACTGATCTACTGCCAATGACTTCTACTGACTACACACATACAGGCCTACAACGTTAAAAGAACAAAGAAGTACCCTAGACTGGCTGTAATATAAACATTAGTCACGCTTAATGTAATCTAACAAAAATAACAAAAAAATACAAAATAAATACAATACGGATGCTGCTAATTACCTGCTGATTGAATGCGGCGTTACACTGTCATATTTCCCTGTGTGATTCCACCAGGGCCGGAGTGATCCTTGGCTGTACTTTCGATTGTGTTTTTCTCGAAAACGGTGAACTTTCGTCCCACCAAATGTTTACTTGCTACTTATTTCAGAAACACCTTGTACACCGCGTCTTTCTCTCTATAACAATATTTTAAATATTATCTAATCATTTTTCTTATGTAAGAAAGAAAGGGGGGTTAAAAATATCTTACTATTACTTAAATAGAGAAAGGGATCAAATTTTTGGGAAAATATCTTTTACGAATTTCAGAGCCCAACGCATTGTTCAACTTTTTTGAAGCAACTTTCTAATTAACATACTAATTAAATGTAAACGCCAGCGGATGAACACAAAATAATTAGTAATAATTTTACTTGTTTTTCGCTCTTAATTGAGAGTACAAACACATGGAATATCTTTAAAATCAGTTTTCGATTGATCCGACCAACCGACCGACCAGTAGCCAGTGTGAGGTGCTTACAGATAACCACCAACTTTTCAGTTGTTCATTACAAGAGAAGTCTTTTAAGAGTGACCTCTAATCAGAAATTTTCTTAACAACCGTGCAGACTTGAATGTCGTTGCTTTCGTTTAAATGTTTCCGTAATCGAATGGAGCTCATACAGGACCATAAGATTTTTACATACCATATTGTCAATTAGCAGTTCAATTTTTTGATGATGTGAAAGCTATACGTAATTCCTGACGCAGGTTTGTTTGGACAATACATGGTGACGCCTGCTAGTGAAGCATTATTCGTAATAAACGGTCAATCAATGACGGTGAACTGTGAAATTGGAGCTGTAAGGCATCCCAGCTCCGTCGTCTGGACCACTACTAAAATTCACTGAACGATATCACATTCTCATTAAGCTCATCACCTTTATTTATATAGCCATTAAAACTAGAAGTAGCATTTAAATGTTACCGAAAATGTTGCCTGTCTAATGGAAAAATAACCTGTGGTAAAAAAATATCAGAAAATAGAGTAATATTTTTGATGTAGAAGTTAGTTCCGTAAATAAACAAATAAGTAGACTATATCACGTGAATTACATGTGTACATCTACCTACAGTAGAATCCGCTTATAATGACATCGAAAGGAAATGACAAACACGTCATACTAAGCGGGCGTCATACACAGCATAGTCTTAGAAAGTAATCAACTTTCTATTTTGGTTAGTTTTTCAGTTTAATAGAGTCAAAAATTACAAATTGTATATATTTATTAACAGAAATAGAAAAAGAACGATGAATTGTAATATCAATATACATAAAAAGGGTTAGAAAAATGAGCGAAAATGTTATCATTAATCATTTGGGTCACTATAGCCGGATATGATTTCTTGAGAATCAGTCGTAATAAACGATATGTCATTTTAAACGGAGTCATTATATCCAAACTTTCCTAGAGTAAATTTAATATGAAAACCAAACACTGCAATTACTTCATATTAAGCGATTGGTCAATATAGGCGGAGTCATAATAAACGAATTCCACTGTACTTAACTTATTAAGTGTGATCATAGCGTCCATATTGTGCATGCCAGTTCGATATTCAGTGTGAGTTCAAATTGGCACAAATTATACCATATTTGAGTACAGATACTACTCGTAATACGGTTTGTGATTACTTAGAAAAAAATAAAAATATTTTTTTAAACGCAAACTGACGAAAATCACGATTCAGTAGGTGCACATTTAAAGTAAATATATGTATACAATTGGGATCCGTCAAATGGGAGGAGCCTAAAAACATGGCGCTGATTAGAGAAAATTTATCATAGTTCCTATAGTGTAATTTCCATGTTTTTAAATTACGATAAAATGATAAGTATTGGCACAATATGTGATTGGGCTGACACAACGCCTCGAAAAAGAAATTTCGTTGAAGGTAAGCGTGTTTTTAATGTCAATCACATTACAAAATTCGGAAAAGACAAATCCGGAAGCTAACCTTCAAATTTCCTCAAGTTTACTGCCTACTGTTTACAAACTTCGGATTTAAAAACTGATCCACATTAAATAATTGGTGAGGTGATTCTGGGTGATTTAAGCAAAATCATCAATGATTTGCACGTGTAAAGCCAGTTTAAGTCCGCGTTGCAAACTCATTACTGCAACTTTGTTGTATTGCACCAAGTAGGTTCTTCCTCAAAATAGTTATATCGTATCATTAGTATTGTGTTAAAACAATTACAAAGGAATAAATAATATTCACTTTTAGTATGATTCTAGCTTTAAATATTAAGGTTATGGCTGATTGTAAATACTTGCTGACGTGAACAAATTTTCATTCCGGAATTCACTTCTTTGATACTAACTACTTTCATCCAAGCTTCTATTAGTTTACTTTTTTCTCTAATTTTCCTATTTATTACATATATAAAACGGTTAGCTTTCATTGCAAAGTAATGTTAATGTGGGTGAAGATCTATTATGAAGTGCTATTGCAGCTTTTCACTGAACATATTAACTTTTTATTTGATTTAACTTTAGGAGAAAACTTCATCAGCTCCATTATCAAATTCTTTTTCTTTTTTAACGTGTTTCATTATTTTAATAAACAATTTTACGATTTATATGTACTATTTCCTTGGATATTTATCCCTCATATTAGTTACGAGTTTTGCTACCAGGGCATGGGCATACACCACCATTTGACCGATCCCAGTAGCATGTACCAAAAATAATTTCTGTAATATTTACGTATCTGATCTTTTTTAACGACTTTATAAACAGAAAGATAATTAACCAGGTGGGAGAAAAATAATGTACTTACATTGCCTCAATGTTCCCGTTATTTACAATACCATGGAAATCGATCTCTTGTATAAAAAATTATTTTACATTAACATAAAAATAAATCGTCGTCTACCCCAATTGCCTTTGTTGGCATTTGTTGCCATTACTATATAGGCCGACCGGATAATTAGTGCAAAATGTATCGAAATTAATACGTTTGGCTTGTAAATCCGTATCGTGAAAACATCCGTTAATAACAACACTCGGCTACTACGTTGAAATATGGCCGATGCTACGATGACGCTATAACCAAAGTCTACTGTATTATTATTTGATTTCCAACAACTTATTCTAGAATATCCGGCGTATCCCATAAAACAATGTTGAATATTTTAAATAGAGCAAAAATTATTTGATTTTGATGAAGGTATTAGTAACCAAAACTTATTATAAACGAAATGGGAAGTATAGTATATATCAAGTGCCAATTTGACACACTGAAAATTCCTATTATAACATCAGGTTGTTTTTTCTTGAGGCAGACGGTACTTACTTATAACTATACACAAATGCTGAACAAATCTTATTACTGTTGTTATATGTACATTTACATTATTTGGGGTGCTAAGAATTTTTATTTTTAATTAAAATGAACCACATGAACTAAAATCATTGTAGATAGCCATAATGTCTCATATTTAGGTATGTACGGAAAGGAATGTTCCATTTCCACCAAAACTTACCCTGTTGACATAAAGTAATTCAACAGTTTACGTAGGTATATATTTTTAAGTAAAAAATTAAATTTCTATTTCTGTACAAGTATGCTCACTAACAAGTTATTTTTCAATATATTTTCTTAATTTAATTCGGTACAAACATTGCCTGTACACTTTATTATTGTAATGGGTACCATTTTTTGTCCCCAATTATTATCTGTTTATATTGGTACTTGTCTATAAATTCAATATCCAGTAATTTTTGTGCCTAGATTTAATAGAATAAATTACGTAGGAGTTCTCCTAAACGACTGGATTGATTCAAAGAAGGCATACCTGTTTAAAATTAGGGGTAGTTTTTGTTGTATAAATTACGTATTAACTCTAATCAGAAAGTCCACTCTATGTCAGTTAAAATTGGAAACTGACAACGAAGCCTTTGTGGTCAGGGTCGTGTTTACATAAGGACAATTGGAGTAGATGTTCCTGGTGGAAATCGCCTCCAAACTTCCTAGAGTTTAAAACTATCTAATAAGCTTTTTTGTTCGGAAAACATCGGAATCTACCTAATTGTTACGAAAATTAACCTAATTAATGAATAGACCCTTGATGTCAGTACTGGGCCGAATAAAGTGTTAAAAACTGATATTATTTTATTAGAAGAATATTCTTTATTTTTCAGCTAATACTCAATTGAAATTGAAAGGTGTGACTAATTAATAGAGCACAATCTGTGCATCTAATATGGAGCCAGTCATTTTCCGAAAAAGTGCTATAAAGGTTGTTAGAGGCAATTCAAAATCTCATGGGCCGCGGCCATATTAATTTATATTATACATTTCAAAAACATTGACTCCACTGCTCAACAGCTAGGGATAGAAGTCAGATAAACTGTAAACAATGATTAAGTAAAGACCAATGAACGGGACGAGTTTTGATACTGGGCATCCCACGGTCATGACCCATCGACATATGGGATATTAGTTTTAAAAACATATGTCTTTAGATAAACATGACATGACCGTTCAAATTCCTTTTACTTTTATGTTGAAAAATATTTTTATTATTAATGTAGTTAAAATACATGTTTACGTATAACATCGTACAGTTGTTGTTTCCAATTATAACTACTATTTTTACACCATTCATGTGGAAATGTGATAAGGTAACAGGCTGTTTTAATTTTACTATCAATTGTTTAGATTTCTTTCATTATTTTCTGCTGCTGATTGCAGATCTACAGTTGTGTTTAGGTATATTTCTACTTACTCCCAAAACCACTATTTTTTTAAATCGTTATTTCTATTTGAAACTGTATATAAGAATAGTTTGTTTTGTCATATTTTTAAATTGACAGTACCTAAATGTAGCTTGAAGCGTGTAAATTGCGATAAAAGTGTCTCACAATGTTGCTTACTACAGAAACATAAGTATATGTATATGTAAAATTTTGAACTAGGCAAAAAGCTTCAGTTCAGTTGTTTTGCATTAAGATTTTAAAATGTACAATTTTATGTCGTTTAAATTGCTAATTTCCTCTTAATGTTTAGTGTTTCAAAAGTGAATTAAAAATAAATCCATTGATTTTTTAATTTTTAATAGTTTATTATCCCAAGAAACAATAAGAAAACACGTGTATTTCATTTGCCTATTTACCTGTAATTTTAGAATGAGTATGATGGTGGCGCAGCGTGCGACAATATAGACATAGGCTATAGAAAAACCGTCCGCCCTAGCCAACACTATTTGGCGTTGCAATTTTCAGTGTTACAATAGTTTGACTGTATTTAATTAATGAAAAAAAAAGTTTTTTGTTTTTTAATGTCCTAATGACTATTTATTTAACAAATATTCTACTATATAATTTTTACGTTTATTCATATTAAAATNTTTCAATTTTTAATTTATAAATTTCAATGTAGAATAGGTAAATATTTTAAAATAATAGTAATATTCTTTTACGATAATGAATTGCTTAGTATTAGAATCAAAGACAAATTCTTTAAAATTAAGTTTTATTTTGTAATTATCACAAATTTTAATCTTCTTTTTGCCATTAATATACAATTAATAGTAAAATTATTCCTAATGTAAGGAAGGGGGATAGCCAATTTGCCATTTGTTTTGCACAGCAGAGCCGTATGCTACGCCACTGGAACATCGGAAAAAAGAACAAATTCAAAATCTGCTAAATGTTTTCTTTTTTTTCGTTGTTTTTGTACCCATTCTAAAGAACGAAGTTTAGTATTTTACCAGTTGCATACTTTGTGTTTGAGTCAGTATATTTGTTTGATATTTACTCTGAAATATGTTATATTTCAGTAGGTTTGAATCAATTAAATGCAGATTACAGGTAAATAATTGTCCCTATTCTGAACTAAATAGTCTATTGTGAACTAAAACGTCAGTGTAGTTTCCTTTACACCATTGTCTCTGGTCGTAGCTAGTGTCTAATGTCGATTGCATAGTTAGTCTGCTTTTTTGTATTATACTTACATACCTATTCATGTGTTGTGAATTGTATTTTTCTCCCTGTTTGTTGTTTTATTTGACACAAACAATGGTCTTTTCGTAATATTTTATTATATGAAATTTGCTTAAGTATTGTACAATAAAAATATCTAAGAGAAAAAATTTATACAAAAAATAAACAAACATTGAAATACCCACTAGGAAGTTTTATTGCTAACATATTTATAATAAAAATATAAATGGAGACGCCAATGTTGCGTTGAAAATATTTATAATGTTAATGGGCGAAACACGTGTCCGCGTTTTTTCATGGTGTTGTGATATCTGAGGTAAATCCTCTTAGTTTAATTAAGATATTTTTAAGTTAACCAAAACTCCAGTAATCAACTTTTTGAAAAATTTTGGAAAGTATAAAATGTAAGGAGGGGTTAGACGAAAACTTTTTTGAGTAGGCTGCAAAAATTATGGATATCAGAAGTTATGGGACAATAATTTTTAAACTAAAACTTAGTTTTCCACATGCATGCAACAGAATATGTATTGTAAATATCTAAAAATTGGCAGTTCTCAAAATTTAGACAGGCAATTTTAAAGCTAGAAGGGCCAAAATACCAACGTATGAAAATATGTATAGGAAAAAAATAGGTTAGGTAGTTGGTTTTCAGTTAAGACGAAAAAAAAACTATTGATTAGCTTATAAGCTTTAATCAGTTTCCTTGCATAGGATAGATCGAACCAAACATTTCTGGTAACTGATTACACAAATACTTATTATAAAATTACAGTAGGTACAATTCGTTGTCGTATAAGCACAATTAATACATTTATTTTATAATTAAAGATTGGAAGTATTTGGAAAATTTTCGAATAACTCGAATTTTTGAAATTTCAAAAATATTTGATTCAAATTACAAATTTCAGATCGAATAACACTAATTGGAGCATTGTTTTTATTTATCAGTTTAAATGATCAGCCTTTTGCGTTTCAATTTTTATGTCCTATTATATAAAATAGACGAAAACATATTTTTGGATATCATTAAATAAAAAACAATTTACACATACACATCAATTATCTTACAAAGCACCATTTTAATGGTCCCTACACAGCAATTCACTTTCTTATCTTAAGAAAGTGTAATAATAAATAGGGCTATACCGATAGGAAAATATTACATCGAAAATTTCACATATCTTTTAAGAAAAACTGGGATTATCAATCCCTGATTTGTCGGTATTGGCGGAAAATTTCTCTCCTCTTAATTCGGCTTGAATTTGCTCTAGTGATTTTCCTTTAGTCTCAGGTACGTACGTTAAACAGAATATTGCTCCAGCAACACAAACACCGCCAAAGACATAAAACGTTCCATCTCCTCCCAAAACAGAAGCCTGCATGTCAGGGTAGAATCTGGTAATTAAAAATGCAATAAACCAGTTGAAGACACCAGCTGCTGAACTCAAGGTACTCTTTACTTCTTCTGGATACACTTCTGCCGAGATCATCCATGGAATTGGACCAAAACCGAAAGAGAAGGCAACAATAAAGACACACAGACATATGACTGGAATAAAATTTATGGATCGTGCAATACTATTATCCTCAAGTCTGTCATTTAGAGAGTAGTAAACAGCTAAAAGAAGAATAGAGATGCTCATTAATCCAATCGAACCTATTAGCAGAAGACGTCTTCCCAATTTATCAACCACAAGGGATGATATGAATGTAGCAACTACTTGCATTACTCCCACTATAATTGTTGCTATTTTGCTATCCAACTGTACATTAGCAGCATTAAATATGTTGGAAGTGTAAAAGATAACGGCATTAACGCCGCTCGCCTGTTGGAAGAACATCAACCCAAACGATATGACAGTTGCAACAACGGTCTCCCTTTTACGGAACGATTGGAAAAATGGAACCTTGCGTTTCTCGTCTTCTTCGAGCATACGCTTTATTTCTTTTATTTCAGCATCAACATCGTATTGAGGACCTCTGAGTCGAAGCAGGCTTTGACGAGCTTCTTCTTCCTTCCCCTGCTTCATTCTGTACACTGGAGTTTCCGGTTGTGTGAAAAATACTATGCCAAACACAAGGGGTATAATGGCCAAAACAATAGAGTACGGTATTGGATGTAAAAATGAACCGAGAATGTACGCCAGGAGAATACCAACGGTCAATAAAAGCTGGAAGTAGCTCCCAAGGGTTCCCCTGATCTCAACTTCTGCTATTTCGCTTGTATAAAGAGGGGCTGACACACAAAATGCACCACCAGCAAAGCCAGTCACAAATCTTCCAACCAATAACATCGCCACATTTTGTGCGAATATTATAAGGAGCCAACCCAAGGTAAACGGAATCACTAAAGACAACATGGCTACCTTCCTCCCGAGAAAATCGCACATTTTTCCAATAAAAAAGCAAGAAAATAATGCACCAAGGGTTGCTAATGAACCAACCCATCCTAAATCTGTTAACTGTACTCCATTTAGTTCACCACTTGTGAGTTCTTGTTCAATGTTAGACGTCCATCCCATCATGCCACCGGCAGCTACTGATCCAAGACATACTGAAACAAATTTTTTTCAATTGAGATTAATCAAAGCATTAAGTCGCATGTACATTCACTATAATTCAAATTACAGATTCGGCTTTCTACGTTCATTAAAAAAAAGCTTCATTAGTATTTGTACGAAAACGTTCGAAACCTTGCAGACAAACATTTTGCGAAGATCATGGTTAAATGCTCATGAGTGGTGTCAAATGAAGGGTGTAGATGTCTATATGTGCAGGAAACTAAAAGGTATGGAAAGAGTTCCATCGTGGGACTGTTACTAAAAATTCTGTGCGCTATTCATAGTTATTAGTGACGTTTGCGCCTTTTGCTTCCTCGATTTTGGAATGTTACAACGCTACGTAGCTAACCAACAAAAATCAACGTTGCCAGGCAAATTTATTTTTATTTCGTAGTTTATTTACTGAAATGAAAAATCTTTTCTTCTTTAGTTATTCATAAGAAATTTTCAAAGTTCAAGTAGCCTTTAAACAACAAGAATTCTTTAACATCGAAATTAAATTATATATATCATAAATTAAAAAATACCCTTTTCCTAATCTGGTTCTAAATTTCCCAGTTCTAGGTAAATTTCCTTAGGTCTGGCAACGCTGGCCAAAAGTTGAACGTGTTAGTATACCTATTCCCAGATTTGGCACCCCTGAACTGTTTTCTTTTGCTAACTTCAAAAATTAGCCTAAGAAATTTTTAACGAATGAAGAAGTTACTTATTCTGTAAAGAGTATTTTACAGAGATGAATAAGTTTTTTTCTCCGAGGGAATTAAAAACGGGAAGGTCTTTGGATCAAATAAATTGAGATTATGTAGAGAAACAATTTTTGTAATCTGGTAATTAAAAATGCAATAAACCAGTTTTTGTAAAAAATTGTTGTTTTCTATAACTTTTATGAAACTTATCGATCCACCCTCGTATGCTTGATAACACAAAACGTAATGTTATAAGGGAATCCTGTAATACTGTGTTTAAGCTACACCCACGCTGCTCGGGTGGCAGTAATTCTGCACAGCCTGCAAACATTACCTACAGCATCATCATTAAAAGGTAGCAAGTCCTAAGATTAGTTGGACACGCACCTCCACTTCTTCCTAGCCTAGGCTAAACATAGCATTTATCTAAAACTAGAGCCTGGCATATTCCTTATTGACTTCCTGTACTCTTCTCCTATTCTTCCTAATACCCCCTCATTTTTAATCTTTTCTATCAACGGTATCCTTATCATTTGCCTGTAACGTTTTAAATTAACCGTTCGCTAGTATAGAAGTGACTTCTTTTTGATGAAGGCTAGATCCGGCGCTATCCTCCGTTTTACTGCTTCTTCCATTATGAGTTATATAACTTCTTAGATACCGAAAATCAGTCATTTCTTCTAATTTTACGTCATCTATCTTTATATTCGCTTTCTAATTTTTCTTCCCTTGCATACCAGTATTTTTGTTTTACTTTTATTTATTTTCATACAATACTGTTTTTGTTAATACTGCTTCTATTTAAGCTAGCTCCTCCCTGCTAGATGCTGATACTGCTATAGCATCTGTAAATCTAGCATAGTAATATTTTTCCTATATCTATCTATCTATCTATCCTTAACGTTGTCCTGTTTTTAAAGATACTTATCGTGTCTTCAAAATATAGATTAAAAAGCAGCGACTACAGTGGGTATCCTTGTTTGACTCCTTCCTAATATTTACTTACTTACTTTACTGCTCAATCTCTACAACTGCCTGTTGCTCTTTATACAAACTACGTATCACTCTACTATACTTCATTTACTTTCTCTAGCGATGTGCCCCTTCCAATATTTTGGATGCGCGCTGGCAAAATGGTAGGTAGGGAGAGAAAAGCTCATTGTACTCTCGACTCTAGTTCGTTCAACATACTTTTTCATACAGTACCTGCCAAAAATTTTGTTCAATCATGAATAGTAGTGCGAGTCGAAAACAAGCGTTAAAGCCTTTAATATGTCTTCAAGTATAAATAAACATCTCGTTGATATTTTCAGTAGTAATGGTACCAATTATAGTACATTTGAGTAATGCAATTGTAGTGGATAAAATGATCAATTTTTCCTTGCAGTATTGTACGGATTATACGCCCCTCACCGCTTAAGAGTTATCTCCTTCCTTTTCTGGCTTAGTGCTGTTCTTTTCTACTTTGCGCCGGTCAAACTGAACGTCACATCACTACAGAAAGTAAACGAAGTATATCTATGTATCTCATCTCTACATTTTTAAGTATATTTAACATCATGTCCCATTTAACATTGTTAAAAGCCTACGAAATCTACCTACCTACGCACTCTTTCCTTTCTCTATCGTGTCCTCTATTGTTACCTGAACTAGAACTAGAATAGCCCCCTACGTTCCTCTATTTCTTGTAAACCCAAATAGTTCTTCCGCCCTTTTTAAAAGGCGTACTACGAGTGCTCTGTAGGAATATTGGCCATATTAGCATATTCCTAGATTATCTAATCGTAAAAAGAAAAACCGTGAACAAATAGACATTTTGCAGCATGACGACATAGAACAACACTTTGATCATTGCCGAATCGCTTGATAAACTATTCTATTTAACAGGGCCTCAAGTACCTCTATAACTTTCTTTTGTTTTTTTTGTAGTTCATTTAGGAAGGTGCGTCGCCCAGAAATTTGCCGAAAGTATTTTCTAAACAAGATTTTACCTAAGATTGCAATCGTAAAAACAAAGGTAATTAAAAAGGATAATTAAAATTGTTATTTACAAAACCTGTAACTGATACTGTCATTATTAATGATCATCTTGGTTGATAAATCTAATTAGCAAATATACTGAAATAACAGCAAGCTCCTTGATATAGATAATTAAATTTTACTAATCAAATCGTATCATCCATCATTGTTAAAAATAAGGAACAAACAATTTTTTGCTAAAAAAGGAACAAACAATTTTTTGCTTCATTTTTTTACTTCACAGTGTTCATAGGCTACGGAATTATATAGGGACGGAGTATAAACTGTAAAGGTGGAGGTGGTGGGTAGAGGTTAGTGTATGGATCTATCAGTTACCTTCATTCACTGATAGATCCATACACGTTCATTTTTTCATAGGATAGATTTTACATGTTTTATATTATGTAGTGATGCCTGATTACACCAACGTTTCCCTTAAGTTCACTATGACGTTGAAGTGCATTACTATCCCTGGTATGAAATCATGACATCTATTATACGCAATACACATAGTTACAATATAGTTGGGAGCAGATTTAGCGATAAAATTATGTCACTTAGTTTTTGACTGATTAATTTGATGCTAGGTGATTGCCATTCAAACAATGCATACATTTGAATTGAGAATCAAATTACCGATCGATTGTTGTGTTACATGCCATACAATTATCAATAGTATGGAAAACAAAGAGTGGCTTGATGGCAAAGAATTTGAGCTCCCAAAGTGGCCAGCTTGTTCGCCAGACCTCAACCCTAGCGAAAATCTTTGGAAATTGATGAAAGGTAACCTTGAGAAAGAGACTGAACGCTCGATTGACAATTGGATGGTCAAAATCGAGACCATTTGGAACGATTTGGTCCCTAAATATTTGGAGTCTTTAATCGGGAGTATGAATTCCCGATTGGAATCGTGTATTGCGGCCAACCGTGATAAAACTAAATATTGATCCAATTGTAATCCTAATGTATATTTATCAGTCGATTATGAGCAATGAATAAAAATATTTTTTCTAAATTTAAATATTGCTAAAAACCATTGAAACAATCATCACTAAATATGCTCTCAAGTTTAGTATGAAAATAGAACGGGATTACTATACTAGTACATTATTCGTAAACGTCATGGTTTTATCGCTCAGATGGAAACAATGTTACAATTATGGTGTGATAATCAAGGAAGACTTAAAAAGTATCCTGTTAACCAAAACACAGTGTGCTTTCAAGCTAAGCAGATTTTTGAGAGACTAAAAGAAGAAGCTGGGGAGGAGACCAAAAATGAAGAGTTTAAAGCTAGTAACTGCTAGTTTAGCCGAATTAAAAGTCGTTGTAATTGGCATACCACTGCAGAAAGTNAGGTAGACCTAGATTAGATTACTCTTCGCAAATAGTTAAGGATGTGGGCTGTTCTAGTTTTAGGTAAATGCGAAGTTTAGCTCAGGATAGGAAAGAATGGAGGTACGTGTCCAACCAGTCTTAGGACTGATGAACTTATGATGATGGTGAAAAACCAATTGAAACAATTATCACTAAATAATGCTCAAAAGTTTACATTAACATATATGTTTACTTGAACGTATTCAATTCAATACGTATGATAGGTATAACTGTACCTTGGAAATCCTTACGGAAAAATGTAACTTAATTATACAAGGTTTTGAAATTTTCTTCTTACCTGAAAGTGCAGCAATGTACTGTGGTAATTTTTTTCCGCGTTGCAGCGTTCCTTGGCTTTCTTCTGGATCAGGAACTTTGAGAGTCATTTTCGTTATTGCTAAAAAGAAAAAGGAAACATGCGTAAGTGACAAACTTAAAATAATTCAATTTTTAAAAGTCCTACTTCACAGTTATTATTAAAAACATCATTATTGTTATTATTTTCGATCAAAATCTTGGTAAGTTCATTTCTAGAACAATTTTATTCAAATAACTTTGTCATAAAATGTCTTTTGAACCGTCTTCAGTAAAATACTGTGTATAGTCCTTGTCAGCGTACTTTGCGTGCGTATTGAACAATCTATGCACTACGATTAGATTCGTTCTCGTTCAAATGTGTACTAATTCAAGGCAAAGATTAGAAAGACAAAAATTCATAGACGATTATTTTCTGCTTATTCTCAGGCTACTAAAAATTAGATCAGAAACAAGTATAATAAGCATAAAATCGAGCGGTTCTTGCCGTGCTATTTTTATAAAAATAAATATTACATTCGCGAAAAATTCTTTCTAAATTTATTTGGGCTTTATTTGTCCTTATGCCAATATTTTTAATGGACTGTGTAAGTAGAATAATTTTATACTTAACGTTGACAGCAATCAAAAAACTAGATACCTACCTTTTTTTTACATTTTTAGCCCAAAATTTCGACTCTTACAACCTTTGCTGCACTTATGCATTCTCCATTAATGATAAAGCCGGTAAATTCCTATCGATTTATACTTGTAGCAAACGTGGAGATATTGAAAACATTATGCAAAAATTTTTGCGGAAGTAATATTTTTTTTACAATGACGACGGCACTACGAGAACCGCTCGATTTTATGTTTATCTAGTTGTCTGTGATGTACCTAACTTTCAGTAATCTGAAAGGCAGGACTAAGAAAATCATCTATGTATTTCACCGTCTTCCAGTCTAAATATAGTTGTGTCACTCTATTTATTAAACCATACTGCAGAACACTGGCAAAAGCCATTACTTATACACATTTGCGCGAACAGAAGCGTGGCTAATACTATGCAAAATGTCGTTTAAAAATAGAGAAATTATTTTTAATTTGCCTATAAGTAGGTAGATGCTGATAAAATATTAAGTAAATACCCACAATGTGGAGTATATTTTGCTCTTTGATATGCAACAGATGACCTGTTTTCGGAACATTCGATTTTTATAGACAAACTGCACATGTTGTTGCTGAACAACTTTTATTAAGTGACAGTTTTATTGTACCACATTCTAAAGTATTGCGTATCCAAAATTTAATTATTTCGGCTCATATTATGTCACAATTTTAAAAGTTGTTTAATGATGTTACATAAAGAGCTTAAAGTAATGCCAACAGTTAAAATAATTTATAAAACTTTTCTGAAACGGTGGAGATAAGGAGATACTTCTTTACCTTATACTATTACAGTATGACAGAAAATTTCAGCTTGAAGACAATTATTGTACCGGTAAATGGAAAAAATTGTGCTTAAAAGAATTATTAAAAAAAAACATACAACGTGTAATTATACAACACGCTACTGAAGTGAAACACACAAACATACCAGGATAGGGGTTAAGGAATTGGTTTAATGGTATTATTTGTACACTATGCTTCGCAAGGGTGCAATGCTGATAGTAAATATACTATAGTATGTCTTTATATACAACAATCACAGCTTTTTTGTCATTAGACAATACAAACCGGCCGGTACCGCCGCAACCGCTATGTCCCTGCATTTTAAGTCTGTA